GTCAACATATTAACAAATGAAAGATTTAAATGGTTACCCTTGAAAAGGAACAAGGAGAAGAATCTCGCTTGACAGGTAAACGTCCTACGTAAACTGCTACATTAACGACACCAACCAGGAAAATCTTGGTCAGATCTAAGTAATGTTTCGTCCCACACCGAGACCTCAGCTAGTAACAACAGAACCACAAGACATACTAACTAGCATAATTTTAAACTCCGACCTACATATCACACAAAAGCGTACTTCACAATGAGATCATGGTTTTGCCTCAAGTCTTCATCAACCTGTACCTCTGGAAACCCTGTGTTGTAGGTTTTCCGTCGACACTTTTGATACATGTACCAAATCAAATGAGATATGTTAACGCTGTAGGGGTGTTGATATCAAGAAAGGGAAACTTAACGAAAGGTTTATTCTACCGATTAGTACATGTAGATAGCGGCCCCTGTTGATCATGTTGCTGACTCTTTCAGATTTCGACAAATCTGAAAGGGGAATGAAATGACTTGGCCAGGTGTTGTTACCTGGCCTGATAAGCTCTTAAATAAGTCAGCTTTATATGAAAACAAAAATAATTTGGCCAGAAGACGGCACTGCCATGTTTGGTCTTCCCTAAAGACGAACGAAAATTACAGACGTTAACTGTTTGATAAAGGAAGTATGGTATGCTATGTAAAGGTGGGGTCAGCTATGGTGGTCACGTGACCTACAAATGGATGAGAACAAGTTCCAGGTTTCGTTCGACACTACAATTTAATTCGACTGTGACGTTGTGGATAATTTGGTAATATAGGTTGACAACGGACGTGGATTGGTTACTACAAATTACATTATAATTCGGCTGTGACGGCGTGGATTGTTTATTACAAATTACATCATCACTCGGCTGTGACGGGGATTGGGTAATACAAATTACATCATCAGTCGGCTATGACGGCGTGGATTTTTTATTACAAATTACATCATCAATCGGCTATGACGGCGTGGAGTGTTTATTACAAATTACATCATCAATCGGCTATGACGGCGTGGAGTGTTTATTACCAATTACATCATCATTCGGCTATGACGGCGTGGATTGTTTGTTACACATTACATCATCACTGTGTTGAGGGGGAGATGCGGGCTGATATTTTGACGGGACTACATTGTTGGAAGAACGCAGGCTAACTTTGTTGAAGAAGGAACGCAGGCTGATATTGTGACGGGATTGTGCTGAAGAAAAAGGAACGCGGGTTGATTTTTAACGGGACTGTGTTGTATGTGGAACACGGACTGATTTTATTGAAGAAGGGACGCAGGCTGATATTGTGAAGAGTCTGTGTTGTAGGAGACGTTTTAAGGAACGTCATGGCACACTTAACATAAACGTCATGTCATACTTAACATAAACGTCATGTCATACTTAACATAAACGTCATGTCCTACTTAACATAAACGTCATGCCATACTTAACATAAACGTCATGGCATACTTAACATAAACGTCATGTCATACTTAACATAAACGTCATGTCATACTTAACATAAACGGCATGGCATACCCAACATAAACGTCATGGCATACTTAACATAAACGTCATGTTATATTTAACATAGACATCATGATATAATTGACATAAACGTCATGATTTAATTGACATAAACATCATGATATAATTGACATAGACATCACGATATAATTGACATAAACGTCATGATATAATTGACATAAACATCATGATGTAATTGGCATAGACATCATGATATAATTGACATAAACGTCATGATATAATTGACATAAACGTCATGATATAATTGACAGTCATAATACTGTATATAATGTGTTAATTTTTATAACATAATATGTTATCAAGCAAGCATGATCTCTAGTTTCCTTAATGGATTATGGTATCCGGTATAAATAATTAATAGTGTTTCCTAGTCTTAACAATTTATCACTATAGTACAGCATACATCTCATCATCTTGTATTCATCACAGATGCATTTCTATATCGTGCACTCATGTAGCGTGTCACTTCCATAGGTCACCTCTATCTTACAGGAGGTTACACCTGGTCACCTTTATAGGTCACCTCTATCTTACAGGAGGTTACACCTGGTCACCTCCATCGGACACATCTATCTTACAGGATGTTACAACTGGTCACCTCTATCTTATATTTATCTTACAGGAGGTTACACCTGATATAATTGACAGAAACGTCATGATATAATTGACATAGACATCATGATATAATTGACATAAACGTCATGATATAATTGACATAAACGTCATGATATAATTGACATAAACGTCATGATATAATTGACATAGACATCATGATATAATTGACATAAACGTCATGATATAATTGACATAAACGTCATGATATAATTGACATAAACGTCATGATATAATTGACAGAAACGTCATGATATAATTGACATAGACATCATGATATAATTGACATAAACGTCATGATATAATTGACATAAACGTCATGATATAATTGACATAAACGTCATGATATAATTGACATAAACGTCATGATATAATTGACATAGACATCATGATATAATTGACATAAACGTCATGATATAATTGACAGTCATAATACTGTATATAATGTGTTAATTTTTATAACATAATATGTTATCAAGCAAGCATGATCGCTAGTCTCCTTAATGGATTATTGTATCCGGTATAAATAATTAATAGTGTTTCCTAGTCTTAACAATTTATCACTATAGTACAGCATACATCTCATCATCTTGTATTCATCACAGATGCATTTCTATATCGTGCACTCATGTAGCGTGTCACTTCCATAGGTCACCTCTATCCTACAGGAGGTTACACCTGGTCACCTTTATCTTACAGGAGGTTAAACCTGGTCACCTCTATCTTACAGGAGGTTACACCTGGTCACCCCCATCGGTAACCTCTATCTTACAGGAGGTTACACCTGGTCACCTTTATCTTACAGGAGGTTAAACCTGGTTACCTCTATCTTACAGGAGGTTACACCTGGTAACATCTATCTCACAGGAGGTTACACCTGGTCACCTATGCGGTCACCTCTATCTTACAGGAGATTACACCTGGTCACCTATACGGTCACCTCTATCTTACAGGATGCTACACCTGGTCACCTATACGGTCACCTCTATCTTACAGGATGCTCCACCTGGTCACCTATACGGTCACCTCTATCTTACAGGATGCTACACCTGGTCACCTATATGGTCACCTCTATCTTACAGGATGTTACACCTGGTCACCTACATCGGTCACCTGGTCACCTATACGGTCACCTCTATCTTACAGGATGCTACACCTGGGCACCTATACGGTCACCTCTATCTTACAGGATGTTACACCTGGTCACCTACATCGGTCACCTGGTCACCTATACGGTCACCTCTATCTTACAGTATGCTACACCTGGTCACCTATATCGGTCACATCTATCTTACTGGAGGTTACACCAGGTCACCTCCATCGGTCACATCTATCTTACAGGAGGTTACACCTGGTCAGCTCTATCTTACATTTATCTTACAGGAGGTTACACCAGGTCACCTCCATCGGTCACCTCCATCTTACATTTATCTTACAGGAGGTTACACCTGGTCAGCTCTATCTTACATGAGGCTACACCTGTTCACCTTTATCGGTCACCTCTATCTTACAGGAGGTTACACCTGGTCACCTTTATCGGTCACCTCTATCTTACATCATCTATCTTACAGGAGGTTACACATGGCCACCTCTATCTTACACAAGGTTACACCTGGTCACATCTATCTTACAGGAGATAACACCGTGTCACCTTTATCGGGCACATCTATCTTACAGGAGGTTTCACCTGGTCACCTCTATCTTACAGGAGGTTACACCTGGTCACCTCTATCTTACAGGAGGTTACACCTGGTCACCCCCATCGGTCACCTCTATCTTACAGGAGATTACACCTGGTCACCTCTATCTAACAGGAGGTTACACCTGGTCACCTCTATCTTACAGGAGGTTACACCTGGTCACCCTCATCGGTCACCTCTATCTTACAGGCGGTTACACCTGGTCACCTTTATTGGTCACCTCTATCTTACAGGAGGTTACACCTGGTCACCTCTATCTTACAGGAGGTTACACCTGGTCACCTCATCGGTGACCTCCACCTTACATTTATCTTACAGGAGGTTACACCTGGTCACCTCTATCGGTCACCTCTATCTTACAGGCGGTTACACCTGGTCACCTTTATTGGTCACCTCTATCTTACAGGAGGTTACACCTGGTCACCCCCATCGGTCACCTCTATCTTACAGGAGGTTACACCTGGACACCCTCATCGGTCACCTCTATCTTACAGGCGGTTACTCCTGGTCACCTTTATTGGTCACCTCTATCTTACAGGAGGTTACACCTGGCCACCTCTATCTTACACAAGGTTACACCTGGTCACATCTATCTTACAGGAGATTACACCGTGTCACCTTTATCGGGCACATCTATCTTACAGGAGGTTTCACCTCGTCACCTCGATCTTACAGGAGGTTACACCTGGTCACCTCTATCTTACAGGCGGTTACACCTGGTCACCTCTATCTTACAGGATGTTACACCTGGTCACCTACATCGTCACATCTATCTTACAGGAGGTTACACCAGGTCACATCCATCGGTCCCCTCCACCTTACATTTATCTTACAGGAGGTTACACCTGGTCTCCTCTATCTTACAGGAGGTTACACCTGGCCACCTCTATCTTACACAAGGTTACACCTGGTCACATCTATCTTACAGGAGATTACACCGTGTCACCTTTATCGGGCACATCTATCTTACAGGATGTTACAACTGGTCACCTCTATCTTACAGGAGGTTACACCTGGTCACCTCTATCTTACAGGAGGTTACACCTGGTCACCTCTATCTTACAGGAGGTTACACCTGGTCACCCCCATCGGTCACCTCTATCTTACAGGAGGTTACACCTGGTCACCTTTATTGGTCACCTCTATCTTACAGGAGGTTACACCTGGTCATCTCTATCTTACAGGGGGTTAAACCTGGTCACCTCTATTGGCCACCTCTTTACACCTGGTCACCTCTATCGGTCACCTCTATCTTACAGGAGGTTACACTTGGTCACCTCTTTCGGTCACATCTATCTTTCAGGATGTTACAACTGGTCACCTTTATTGGTCACCTCTTTCTTACCGGAGGTTACCCCTGGTCATCTCTATCTTACAGGGTGTTAAACCTGGTCACCTCTATCTTACAGGAGGTTACACCTGGTCACCTCTTTCGGTCACATCTATCTTACAGGATGTTACAACTGGTCACCTTTATCTTATATTTATCTTACAGGAGGTTACACCTGGCCACCTCTATCTTACACAAGGTTACACCTGGTCACATCTATCTTACAGGAAGTTACACCTGGTCACATCTGTCTTACAGGAGGTTACACCTGGTCACATCTATCTTACAGGAAGTTACACCTGGCCACCTCTATCTTACAAAAGGTTACACCTGGTCACCTTTATCGGTCACCTCTATCTTACAGGAGGTTACACCTGGTCACCTCAATCGGTCACATCTATCTTACAGGATGTTACAACTGGTCACTTCTATCTTATATTTATCTTACAGGAGGTTACACCTGGCCACCTCTATCTTACACAAGGTTACACCTGGTCACCTTTATCGGTCACTTCTATCTTACAGGAGGTTACACCCGGTCAGCTCTATCTTACATTTATCTTACAGGAGGTTACACCTAGTCAGCTCTATTTTACATGAGGTTACACCTGGTCATCCCCATCGGTCACATCTATCTTACAGGATGTTACAACTGGTCACCTCTATCTTACATTTATCTTACAAGAGGTTACACCTGGTCACCTCTATCTTACTTAAGGTTACACCTGGTCACCTTTATCGGTCACCTCTATCTTACAGGAGGTTACACCTGGTCAGCTCTATCTTACATTTATCTTACCGGAGGTTACACCTGGTCACCTCTATCTCACAGGAGGTAACACCTTGTCACCTCTATCTGACAGGAGGTTACACCTGGTCACCTCTATCTTACATTTATCTTACAGGTGGTTACACCTGGTCAGCGCTATCTTACATTTATCTTACATGAGGCTACACCTGGTCACCTCCATCGGTCACCTCTATCTTACAGGAGGTTACACCAGGTCACCTCTATCGGTCACCTCTATCTTACAGGAGGTTACACCTGGTCACCTTCATCGGTCACCTCTATCTTACAGAAGGTTACACCTGGTCACCTATACGGTCACCCCTATCTTACAGGAGGTTACACCTGGTCACCTTCATCGGTCACATCTATCTTACAGAAGGTTACACCTGGTCACATCTATCGGTCATCTCATTTTTTCATTATGTTATAGATGGTCACATTTATTGGGTACCTCTTTCTCACAGTCCAATGCGTTATCCTTTAAATTACAATGTAGTTTTTGCTAATAGTATTTGATTAAGTCTACTAGGACCAATTGCTTAAACCTTAGTTTGAATAAATGTCACGTGACATGTTGGGCTATTTTTACAAGACATCCAATTGAATTACAATGCATACAAACTTAGCAGGAAACGCATCACAATTGGGTCTTTTCATCCTCATGATATATCGGATTGTCGTACCGTTTCTCTTTCTCTGCTCGTAATTGTCCGTCTTGTTGATAAACTGAATTTTGATGGCCGTTCATGTGCAAATCGACTTCATTTGTTGAATTATACGAAACTTTGTGTTATTCATTTGTGACTGATCCTTTTGGCTTGCCTGTTGAAGAACAAAAAACTGATTTAGAATCAAAAATGAAAACATCAAATATAAGATGTCTGTCAGCGTTAAACGCGTGTCAAATTAAAATGCTTAAAGACTTAAGTAATCATCAGTATCAGGAAAATGGATCGGAATCTTCGGGACGGATTTTGAGTGTGAAGAGGGAAGAGGACGAAGGAAGGAGGAGAAGTTGGAGGACATACCTGTTGCGGCTGTTTTCCCCGACATTTTACCACCAACACCACCACGATTACAAGCACTAAACTATTACTCCTCACGCGGCGCCCCCAGCTATCGGTGCGATCTTGACGGCCTTCTGTGGCGACGACTCATTGTCAATCTGCCCAAACATAAACAATTCATGATAAGTAGATGTGATTATGTACGGTGTAGCTCCTTGTGAAACTATAGCTTGAAGGTAAAGTGACCTTTAGGTGGAGTATTACCATACCGACGTCACATTGACAGGGGTAATAACCCAAACCACAGCACAAATGACTATACTGAAAATGTGACGTCATTCCATTGTTTCCATTTAGAGTTCCAAATTACGACAATTGTATAGGGGATTGACCTTTCTCTCCAAATAAACGAACGACCGAATTATCAGCGTTGATCTGAAAGTGACCAACGATGTATCATGATATTAAGGTTTAAATTATTTCAATGTATTGCCACCCTCGGTGTTACCTGATGCCACATCTGATGTGATATATTGCCACTTTCCACAGCGGCTAGTAATATCCTCTGTGTCATCTTTTGGCTGAAATCTGCCACAACTTTAACTGCAGATTAGTGTTTTTTTCTATCAGTTTGATAAATTTAAAGGTAAAATATATATAATGTATTTATATAGGGAAGTACTGAGCAACTCTTTTTACAGTGTTTTATACATGTATATGTTTACATTTTTTTTAATCTCATTTAAAGGTAGGTAACTATTGCACCTAATGGTGTCACTGTGATTAGAACATTAAATACCTAGAATCAGCCTACAATATGCAATAAAAGGTCAGGTAAAACTCATAAAAATGTTAGTTACATGTTCTGTTACATGTACCTGGGTGCTAAACCCATTCGTGATAGTCTAACGGTCACTGTAATTCTGTGTAACACGCAATATAAAATTAAACATAATCCTTATTAATTTGATTAGCAATTTATATTTACAGTGTTCCTTATTGAGTACGAGAGTCCGGATATTTTTTTGTTCCGTAATATTGATCAACCAATTCTACCAAATCGCACATTTGTGCGGACAGAAGCGCACAACAAGGCGAACGCTTGTTAAATCGCACAGTTGTGCGCACCGTGTGTGAACGATTTATGCACGGTGTGCACACGCTATTTATGGTGCGTTGTGCGGTCCTACAACTGTAACTCCTCCGTATAGCAGCTTGACTAAATGTGGACTACTCAAAATACCTGGAAATAGCAGAGAAGTCAACACTTTACTAATAGCACTTCTACAACTTAAAAACTATCAGAGGTTTTTTTTTAGTTTTTTTCCCAAATTAGAACCGTTTTCATGGGTCCGGTTACCATAAATATTCATATGCATGTAATTGAAAGAAAATCTTTAGCTAGAAGAAAAGCAGGTGTACGTTTGAATCCATGCTCAATAAATTGATAGATAACCTTTTTCTATTATTGAAAAGCTATGTTGAAAAGGTCGAGAGTTTATCACAAAATAAAGACCTTATCGAGAATCTAAAGTCTGCTATGCTACAGAAGGCTTAATTTATACTGAAATAATTTATAAAATCATTATCATATTGAATTTGTTACGGGTATAATACGCGTATAACAAAGTGTACCATTAAACTAGTCCGAATTATTCTGACGTTTTAAACCTATGTGCAGTGATAAATAAAGGAAGAAAAGAACAAAGTGTACCATTAAACTAGTCCGAATTGTTCTGACGTTTTAAACCTATGTGCAGTGATAAATAAAGGAAGAAAAGAACACAGGTCACAGATGCGATTATGGTGCGTAGTGTTGTTGAAATGTGCACATAATGCATTTTTACTGTGACAGCACTTCGTGGTGAACATCGGTATTTAGTACGTCGCCTGTTCAATCACGTCAATAGATTGGTTGATGTGATGAAAGTGCTTAGCACGACCAGAGATTAAGTTGACGGGAGGATTGATCAGGCAAGCAGTAAATGATAACGATCAATGCATATAAAATATATAAAGTATTTGTCACTTTACTGAACAGTAGGATCATAAATAACTATCTATCCTGAAAGATAAATTAGAATTTGATATTTAGTTTGCAAAGTTAACTTATTTTTATAGAACGTTTTCTTACTAATTTTATTTATCATAAAATTTTATTTATCATAAACTGATAATAATAATAATAAAAAAACACTGTAATATGAACCAAATGACAATGAAATCGCTTCACGACTTTGTAAGAATAGGAAATATTCTTTAAAGTGTCAAAGACTTTATTTATATGAAACTGCATCCTCGATATCCAGGGGTTACGCTCACTTTCGCCCTGTGCACCCCTGGAATCATCCTTGATATCCAGGGGTTACGCTTACTTTCGCTCTCTACACCTCTGGAATATGTCTTAGCAAAATTGAAGGCTCGGTGTGCTCCACCTTGTTGATGAGACAAGAAGACTTGTTCGATCCTGTGATGTACATCAAAAGAATCTCGCGGTCACGTAACGGTAAAAATCAACAGACTTTGAAGTCAGGCGTCTCACCTTTGTAATCTTCAAAGGACAGGTATTAGCCAAGCGATTGGTCAAGTTTTTTTACTTGACGCCAATCAAACAGCTATCTTCGGGCCTTCAATTTTGCTATGATACATGTATATTCCAGGGGTGTACAGAGCGAAAGTGAGCGTAACCCCTGGATATCGAGGATGCCCTAGAATATGTTGAATGAAGTACCAGAACTTCGGACTAGTAACGATATAACTGAACACACCAGAGGGAAATTAAAGGAGAAATCATGAAAATGTATTATTGAGGATGAGGGGGTAACTAAATACACCAGAGGGAAAGTAAAGGAAAAATCATGATTATTTATTATTGGTGATAAGGGGTAACTGCACACACATGCTAGGAGGTAAAAGAGAAATCTTGATAATTTAATATTGGTGATAGGGGGTAACTGCACACACATGATAGGAGGTAAGGGAGAAATCATGGCTATTCATAATAGGTGATAGGGGGTAACTGTAAACACATGATAGGAGAGGAAGGATACTATAATTATCGGCAAATATGGTGTATAATTCAGTAGTTACTTCGGCAATTTCGGTGTCACGCATGGAATGTCACGTGAGAGGATGTAAAGGAGAACCTGCGAGAGGATGTAAAGGACAACTTGTGATAGGAGTAAAGTGAGAACGTATGTAAGGAGGTAAGGGAAATCTCAAAATAGGAGTAAAGATAGAACGTTTATTAGGAGGTAAAAGATACTTATAGGTAAAGGAAGCCAGGAATTTTATAAGTGAACTTATATTTCCGATTGGTTTCAGTGTACCAGGCGGTCTTTGTATTGTTGAAGGTTGTTCCTTATTGATAGTGGACTATAACAAAATTAACAAGTGTCAATATTTAGGTGGGCCGAACTAAAAGTATATACAGATGTAAATACATCAGCCATAGGAAGCCGGGAGACGAAACTACGTGCTTCAAACGGGTAGCATTCCCTTTGTCACCTGTGGCGTTCTCATGAAAGGAATTGGAAA